GAACCCATTATACCTTCTAAAGCTCCCATTCCAGATCCTATTCCCACACCTGCACCATCATCTGAAATATTGATCCCAAATTCTAACCCAAGATCATCTATTTCTTGTGCCCAAGTTTCATCTCTATTTCATAATCTAGCTTATGGTTTCAAACTCAAAGACTTTTATGACAGAGATGAACCATCTGACCCTATCACCCCTCTGAAACCAAAACTCACAATGACCCTTCCATCTGTGATTCTTGACTATATAAAATCCATATCAGATGTAGGATCCTTAGCAACTATTTCTTGTTCTGCTAAATCTGATAAAGTTGTTGCTTCAGCTATACCAATTACATCTGATAATAATGTTGCTTCTGATGAACCCCCCAAATCTGCTTTCCAACCCTTCTCAAATAAACCCTTTGATGTGGTTCCATTTCACACCAGAGCAAAACCTCATCTATTAAATGCCTTAAACAGATCCAAAGAAAAAGCTCCTGAAATATCTTTCATTCCATACTATCCTCCTCCTCTGATCTCCATCCAAAAATCAATTTTTCCACCAACTCCCCAACCCTGTAACTCTGGAAACTCTGTTACATCCTAAGCCCAGACTTAATGTTAATCATTTATTTCAAACTTTTTTTGCAAGAAATACAGTTGTATTTAGGTACTGTACAGAAGAAATGCTCAGCAACAATGGATGCCAAAGAATTTGATATCATCTGGAATGGATTCATCAACAGATTCAACTCTGTGGCCTCAAATCTGAAGAACATATGTTCTGATGATGCGAAGCTCAGATTTGATGAGGCTGCAAGAACTCTATTCTAGACGGTCAAGAAATATGATCCTCTGCTGCTTACAAATGCTCCTCCACCTTCAGCAGAAACTACTGACATTGCATCTGAGGAAAATCCGTTGGCCATGACTCTGGTAGACCATCCTTCTAACTCCAATGCTCCAGACTCACCAGATCACATGGACATTGACTTTGTTCAAGCTCCAGAACCTGATCATACCTCTTCATCTGAGATTAAGAAGGAACATCCAGATTTTGAAGATAAGATTGCTGCTCTGGAAGCTGGCCAGTCAGAGATCAAGTCCTGGATGGTAAAACAGGATAAGAAGTCTGAGGACATGACAGAATGAATGTCAAAGCAGGATCAAAAGAATGAAACAATGGCTAAGTGGATGTTCAAGCAAGAGCAGTCCTCCTCTGAGATTACAGATCTATTGAAGATGCTTTTGTCCAAACACTCTTAGATTTTCATTTTTTTTTCATTCTAATGTTCTTGCATCTGATGTTTGCTATGTATTTTTTTATATCTTCTGATGCATGTACTTTTGATCTGATCGTATTGAATGAATCAAAGTTTTTCTCCACTGAATTATCTCATTTACTGTTTCCTTTTATTTGTCTTTTTAAAGTTTTACTTTTTTCTTATGACAAAAAAAGGGGGAGAAAATATAAAGATCTGAACTGTTTAATATAACTTCACCAAAATGAAACTTCAGACATATTTATTCTATCTAACATTTAATCTGAGTATTTCAGAACTTTTGATAAGTACAATCTATAAAAGAAACTCTGAGTCTCTCAGATCATTTGACTATTATCAAACTCTGAATCTTAAATCTGCAAGACATTCTGACCTTCAAATGTTAAAAGAACAAACAAGATCTAACTCTGAAGATTACTCAAGACAAAAGGGAAGTTTCTATTCCTTATCTGTATTTAACTCAGGGGGAGATTCATCATCTCAGGGGGAGTTATAATTCTAATATTTTCAATTAAACAAAATTTCTGATGTTTTTTGTCATCATCAAAAAGGGGGAGATTGTTAGAACACAGATTGGTTCTTAATAATATCTCTATGTTTTGATGATAACTATTAGGAAATTTTGTATTTAAGAATTATATACTCTAAAATATGCTTGAGAGTTTTTACTGCAGATAGTAAAGAAATTAACACTCCAGAAGCAAATCAGAATTGAATACAAGAAATGAGCTAAACTCTGAAGCGCCAGATGCATTTATTAGAAGATTCTGATTGTTGCCAACAGAAGATCCTGAGCGTAGCCTCCAGAAGATTCTGAAGCAGAAGCTCCAGAAGGATCTGAAGCAAGTCAGAAGCATCTGAAGCAAAGAAGAATTTTGTATGAAGAGTTTTTCAAAACATAGATTCTACAGAAGTTTCTGAAAGTACAAAAGCTGTCAGTACTGAAGTTCTGTTTCAAATATGCTCTGATATTTAACACGCTGAAAGCACACCTGCTGCAGAAGACTCTGATCCAGCAAGCTTTGATCATCATCAGAAGACTCTGACCCAATTAGACTCTGATGAACTTGCTGAAAACTGAAGAAGAAATATTCAAAGATTATATCCGTTGGAGTAAATCAAACGTCTCTTTCCTTATTTATACTAGACACAAGAACACAGACAAAAAGGATTTTCCTGTGCTTTCTTCTTCTAGGAAAGGTCACTTGATGTGAAGACAAAAAGGCTCAGACATTTTGGACACTCTTCTCAACGTGCAACTTACCTTGGATCGACTGCCTATAAAAGCAAGACTCCACCATATTCTTCAGTTAGACGTTTTGCTGAAAAAGAATTAAAACATTCAAACTCTCATACTTTCATATTCATTCTTAGAATTAATTTCATTGTACTTAAACTTAAGATAAATATCACTGTTGTGATTAAAGCTTTTTAGAAGCATTCTTACTCTTGTATTAGATTTACATTGATTGTAAAGGATTTCCTTAAGAGGATTCAGTTGGAATCAGTAGCTCTTGAAAAGACTAAGAACAGTTGTTCTTAGGTGTTACTATTGTAATCTGTTTAATTAAATAGTGGATTAAGTCCTTGTTTGAGAAAGGCAAATCACTCTAGGAAGGGTGGACTGGAGTAGTTGAGTTCAACGAACCAGGATAAAAATAATTGTGTTTTAATTCTAAGTTTTAATCTTTCATACTTATTCAACCCCCCTTCTAAGTATTATCTCACCTTCAATAATGTTTCTCTACAAGACTTCATCTCATTCGTGACCACAATCACTCTGGACATGTAATCATGTACCTTCTCATTGGTCTTCATGTTGAGATTCTCATATTGCTTGTGTGTGGACTGTAACTTGACATTCTTCACTAAAGCGTCACCACCATAGCACCATACCAGTGTATCCCACGTCGCCTTCGCCGTCGTCGAATCAACAATTTTCTTAAATACCTTTTTATCCATACACTAATAGATATAGAACAACGCCTTCTGATCCTTCTTCCTCGTTTCACATTGCACACTTCTTTGCGACTTTGTTGCATTTTCAGCAACTGACGTGTAACCGTCATTGACGAGATCAAGAACATCTTGAGCTCCAAACAACACACACATTTGAATCGATCACAAATTCCAACTCTTACCGTCGAATATTATGAGCTTTGTGTTTAAGCTACCGTTTCTGTCGTTCATTTTCGTTCTTGTGCAAATCACTTAGTTCTCACTGATTGTCTTCAATTTCGAACTTCAATTCAACACAAATTTTAGAAAGAAATCAATCACACACCTCACTACAATTTTGCTTCCCTATGAATCAAACCTGAGCTTTGGATACCAATGTTGAGGCTATGTAGGGAGGTCAACACGAGAGAACATTTTACTTCGGGGGATTTATTTATGTGTAACGTACATTTGTGAGAGACACACCACATGCTCACCTGAAACCTTAGGGTGATAGGTGTGTGGATTTTTCCACTTATAAATGCTCAAGTCACCACATTTGTAACTAATTTGATATTTTCCCATATACTCATATTTGTTATTCTTAACAAACAACTGTATTTCACACGAGATCATTATATGATAAGTAAATATTAGGTTTGATATCTTAATCTCGAGGTTTGTTTTGAATTTTTAACTTTAAAAAGGTCTATATTAGTCTTTTAACTATTCAAAGCGTTTCATATTAATCATTTTTGTCTAATTAACGATGAATTTAACGATGAATTTTTAAACTTTTTCGCTGATAAAATGACTGATATAAAACATTTTAAAAAATTAAAGAATAAATAAAAATTATTTTTAAATTAAAGAACCAAAATGAATTTCAAATGACAAAATATTAAGCCTAAATATTATTAAAAAGACATTTTTTTTATAAGTTTAAGGTGTCACAATATTAAGTGAAAGGGGCTCTGATATAATTTACCTGACTTTTATTCTACATTTATAAAGACATTTATAAAGATTATTTGTGTTTGACATGACATGGTTCAGCGTTCAATCCATTTTGTCGACGGGGCAGCATGACTCGTGCGCAGTGTGTTATGACTCAGCCAAACGCCACGCCACGTCATATTCAAACTTTTCTGTATAAGTTGTTTTCAGCTAAATAGCTTTATTCCATAAAAAATTAATGATAAGGTTTATACAATAACTCCTATAAATCCCTTTTCTGTATAAGTTGTTTTAAGATATACTACTAATTTTCGCTCAAATAATAAATATTTATGTGATAATAAACTGCGGTCTTTGATTATTCTTTGAGAGTCATACTTTTTCATAATGATGATTCGTGATTGTAAGATCAAAAGATGATGATTACCCTTTCAAACAATTTGAAGCACGCCCACATGAACACATCCATGAGCCATATTCAACTTTCGAACAAAACACAAGATTTCACCCTTTTAATTTAATCCAATGGCCACTAACAACACCGCCCCGTGACGACGATCTTGTCTGTTGTTTCCGAATCCTTGTGGGTCATTCGTCTTCTCTAACCACCAATAAGCTCTTTCCCTAATAAATCAACTCAAAACATCATTTTCAAATTAATAAAAAAAACAATAAAACTCGTGTCAAAAGCCAACCACACCCAGAAAATGACTTTTTCATATTAATAAACAATTTTACCAACTTATTTATCCCAAACAAACCCACTACTCTACCTGAAATCCTAAACATCTCACACTCACTAGTCACTAACAACTGAACTAACACTTTTTATTTTTACATGGATGATCACAGAAATTCAACTTCAAACGTTATTGGACTTTGTCTCCTCCCACAAGAACTCATCCAAAACATCTTCCTGTCACTAGTTTTACCAGAGATCGTTCGCTTGAAACTCCTCAACAAATCCTTCTCAAGCTTAATCTCTGATCACAGTTTCGTTCGTCAGTGCAACTCACTTTCAAACTCCACCACATGGCTCTTTGTCTACAAGAAACGCTGGCTCCGTGACGCCGTGCTTCACGCTTTCACCGATCGGAGCTCCGATCGTTGGTTCCGGATCCCCTTAGCAGAGCTTCTCAAACCTGTAGACTTTCACGGTGAGGATCTTTACTTTCTTTCTGCTTCCGCTAACGTTTTTCTCTTCGCTTCCAACAACGCTCGTGAGGTTGTCGCCGTTAATTTAGTCTCCGTCACCGTTAAGAAGATCCCTCCTTCTCCGTTGGGTCCACGTGGCACATCATCGTGGAGGAGATCCGGGATGAAGCTTGTAACCGATTCTTCCGGGTCGGGTCATTTTCGGTTCATGTTTGCTGAATTTGTGAGGAACCGACCTGTTTTGTTTGTGTACGATTCTTTAACTGACACGTGGAAGTCAACGGAGGCAAAAGAAAAAGAGAACGATGAGGTTCTGCCACGTGGTGGGGTGCACGTGTTTCTCAGTGTGGTTCATGGACCTAGAGAGAGCGTTTTGGTTGCTACAAGTTTAACCTGTGATTCTGACACGCCTGTTGTTGTACGGCCACGATTTAATGACGCGGAAGGGTTAACCGTTGGATTCAACTGGGGGAACGTGATCGATAGGCTACACGTGTACGGTGATGGATACATGATGATAGTGAAATCAGAAGGGGAAAATAGGGTGAGGGTGTTGAAAGGTGTGGAATTGTGGGGAGTGAGTTTGGATGGGAGAAAATGGGAGTTAGTTTCAGCGGTACCTGGTGAAGTGATGAGAGTGATTGAGAAGCGTTATGGAGTAATGATGGGTTGTTTAGAGGAGAAAAATGGGATAATTAGGGTAGCTTTGGTGTCTAATTGTGATGGTTTTTGGGACATGTTGTGGCTTTCTTATGATACTAAATGGAAACGTTGGAACTGGATGCCACTACCTGATTGCAAAATGAAAGGTTGGAACATGGCTGGAATAAGCTTCTCCTCTGGACTTACTTTGCAATGATCCACCAATCTCGTCTTGTGCCTGCTGCTATTTATACATTCTTTTCTGGTTTTGTTTACAGACGGTATTATTAGGTAAGGAAAAATAGCGCAAGATAATATGTAAATATAATGCTAATAAAAGTGTAATTATATAAGTGAGCAATGTATGTAGAGGCTTATATGTGGATCGCTATTATCTTTTATACCTACCTTAATAAAAGTATAATAAAAGCCAAAGCTAATGCCAATGCCATATATATTTATTTATTTCTTAAGCAATTTTTAATATACTAGATTAAGAGAAATGAAGGTACTCAAGTAACATATTACTATGCTCGAACTAAATGCAACATGTTACTATTTTTCAATAAAATTGCTCTGGTAACATGTTACTATATTGGGACGGAGTATTATGTTATTCGTGGCAACTAGGATGGTAAAAAACGAATAAATCAAAGAGAATTCCAGACCAGAACCGAATTATTGTTAAACAATCAAAAACATTCTTCTAAGTAAATTTTTTGAAAAGTAAAGAGAAATGATTTTTATTTTACAAAATTAATTTGTTATACATTGAGTACTTCTATTTGTATACATAAGTAGAAGTTGTCAACTAACTAATTTTGTCTAAACACATTACTAGAATTATAACAAACTTATTAGAACAAACGATTGAATATATATATATATATATATATATATATATATATATATATATATATATATATATATATATATATATATATATATATATATATATATATATATATATATATATATATATATATATATATATATATATATAATTAACCTGTGACTCTCCACTTATACTTGACGTTCCTTAATTTTGATGAAATTTCATTTTTACCCTTTAAAATTTTTTGAAATTTATGAAAATTATGAAGTGATGATGAGTCCAGAAGATAAATGACAAAGAGGTATCAGAGTCTTCAACTTCTTCAAAGTCAGCAGTTGTGTTCACTTAGTTCTTTTTAGAGTGATTCTATCAGAAGCTTGAATATCAGAAGAGGATAGACAGATCTTTAGAACTCAGAAACTTTGACTTCAGAGTTGGATGTGAAGCTTATCTGAGAAGCACACAACTTTTTTTTCTTCAGAGGCATTCAACATTCATGAGAACTATTGATGTTTCTTTAGAAGCGGTATAAGTGGTTTCTTGAGGCGTTTTATAAAGTATTCTGATGAAATATTTTTAGAGTTATCCATAACCAATTTGAATTTTATATTTACACACTTTAGAAAATTATTAGAGTACAAAATTGTTACGTATAAAATATATGCATTATTATCATCAACACTAGAGATTATATGCAGAACCAAAACCATGTTCTAACACTAAGTTCTTCCTCCCAGTGCCTAATCTGTCGTGCATATGTTGATTCCCATGCTTTTTCATCTTTAGTACAGTTTTATCTCCAGCGGTCAGTGACGGGAGGCAATGGAATATCATATTTTAATTTTACCTGAACCCAATGATTGTCGTTGACAAAACCAACAACAATGATTCTATGTGTGCTCGTATACATAGGTGGAGCTATGGTAAAAGGGAAAAAGGCAATGTTAAGCCTGTGACAGGGAGACAAATATGATATTGTACCTATTTGCAATAGGGTAACCCATATCAAGAATAGACATCCATTTTTTATATCCTGCACACCTAAGTGTTCTACTTTTAAGGAAATCCTAACTTCAACAATTGTGTCATAGAACAAATTGGAAAACAATTTTGGGTGTTGATGAACTTGAGTATTCAACTGCATCCGGACCAATGACCATGACTCTTGGCCCCATCCAAGTAAAGCTGCAATAGCCTGAAAACCACAATTTTCATCGTCACCAATATCAACAATGTCATCAATGTATGGATGCAAGAAACTAAGAAACTGAGACAAGTAAATAGCCTTGAAGATGTAATGGACGGTTGACTTTGACCCGACATACTAGAAGGTTGACTTATTGTTGATTTTGTGCATGATCTCATTGTAGTCTGACTCCCCTACGAGCCCTCACCATACTCCCACAGAGAGGGATCACGATGCACATCACTCTCTTCATCCTTTATGTTATTCTTAACTCTCATATTTGCCTTGTATTTCACTAGCGGTGGACACATAAAAGTTGTAGATAGATATGTTAGTTCCCAAACCTTTTTCTTCAACACCCTCTGGCCTACAATATCCAAAGTATCAAAATATGTCTTCAACTCTTCACACTTTGCCTCTAAATCCAGCATTGTGCCACTATCGACATGACCGTTAGCATGCTCTTGAATGTGTAATTTCTTCCAAAAAAAACATGAATTGGTTCTAAAGAAACAGACAAGCATTATATTTGGAAATCAACAAGTTGACACGCACAAGGTAACTCATGTGTAGTTCTAATGAAGCAACCATAAATGTACTTGCTTGTACTAATAAATTTTACCCTTTCTAGCTCCTTTCCTATGTGTTGTATACACTGCTTTGAAACAAAACCGTGCAAGTTGGCATTGAATGAAGTGTTATACCGATGCTTAATATTGACAATACTTTTTTGAAACGACACTCTGATTGAACCTAACTGCAACTTCAACGTGGTGTTCACAGCATCCCAACTTTGGCATAAATCTCTTCATCTTGTAGTCAACATGTTTTTCAGTCTCCAATGAGCAAACTCCACCCTAAATTACAATAATTAAATCATAAAAAGTATCAGAACAAACAGTCACAATTATAATATTGTGTTGCTTGCCAATATGTTGTACCCAGGCTAATACTTCAGCTCGATCCTCAAATATTTGTTGTTTACGTTACATAAAAAGTATAGTTATATAACGCAGCGAAAATATTAAATTTTAACTTGTTACATAGAAAACATACTTGTCTGTGGTGAAGAACTACAATCACTACACAAATCTGTAGATGACCCTGCCAGCTCCAGACCGCACAAAGAAAACATTTTTTGACTTACTGCTATATTACCGGAAATTTCAGTTGTAATATCGAAAGTTTCAAAATTTTGGGATGTGCTGGGTACCAGAAATAAAAAAATTTCCGGCATTGTTACCAAAAGTTTATGTTACGCATCGGACATTCCAAAATTTTCGGTATAAAATACCAAATATTTACAAATTTCTAGTAATGTATAACGGATTTTATGAAATTTTCGGTGTATACACGTGAATTTTCAAAATTTGTGCAACAATGCATACCGAAAAATTCAAAGGTACTACCAAAATTTTGAAATCATAGATAAAGAAAAAGTGAAATTTTTGGAAAAAAATGATAAAATAAAATATAGGTAAATATTAAAAAGAGTATTTTTGGAATAATAAAAATATGGGGGTTGGCAGGTTAATTTTTCCAAAAAAAAATTGGTAGACCTTTGTTAGAAGGTTAGTCAACATCAATGAGAGTTATTTCTTAGAATTATAGTGTGCTAGGTAATCCATAGACAATCACAACTTTTAGGAATCTCATCGTCACTCCTTACTCTTGTAAGAAAATTTGGCTCTAAGCACGTGGAAACTACGTCGTTAAAAAAAGGCATTAGACACATGATTTTTACGTGGCTAAACATTTAAAATTATAAATAAAAAAATATTTTGTCACGTGATATTGCCACATGAAAATTATGTCGTTAAAAAGGATGTTGCCACGTGATTTTCACGTCACTAAATATTTCAAATTATAAAATAAAATATGAAAGTGAAACAGATCTCCCTTTCAATCTATGTGTTTTTAAAATATCTCTCTCTCTCTCTCTCTCTCTCTCTCTCTCTCTCTCTCTCTCTCTCTCTCTCTCTCCTTTCATACACCATCAAGATGAATCAAAATCAAGACATAATCAAATAGGAAAAGTCTACCACATAGGAGATCAACAGTGAAAGCGATTCTGAGTGGTGATGTTGTTGCTTGAGGCATTGGTGATGCAGTCGCAATGAGGTGGGATGTGCGGAGAACTCATTTTGCGTGGTGGTCGTGTTTGCGTCAAAAGTGAGGTCACGGTAGGTGAGCTTTAGTATTCCCCCAATGCTGAACGGTTTCACGGTTTCGAAAATACACATGTCTTTTTTATTTCGGTTCAGTTCACTCTTTTTTTCTTCTACTTTTGTCTTGTTGTTTTGGTTTTGATTTTTGAAAGGGAAAGTTTTATGTTATTATGTGTATGTTCTTTGTTGTGTAGAGATAAAGTGGTGAGTTTGATGAAGGTCAATGAGAATAGAAGATGAAGGTTGCTGTTGTGAAAATGGTGATAAAAATATGAAGAAGATGGAGAAGAATAATTTCCAAGCATTTGTTTTTGGTGATTTTAAGAAATGTGAAAAAAGATGATGGAAACAAGTAGAGATATCTTTTTTTGCAATAATAATATGTTATATATATATATATATATATATATATATATATATATATATATATATATATATATATATATATATATATATATATATATATATATATATATATATATATATATATATATATATATATATATATATATATATATATATATATATATATATATATATATATATATATATATATATATATATATATATATATATATATATATATATATATATATATATATATATATATATATATATATATTTTTGTTTTGTTTCAATCAGGACATTGAAACTAATTATAAAATATTAAAGAGTTATGGACTTTTAATCTTATGATTTGTCAAATTAATGTTGCAATTTTTATGTTGTTGATTATGTTAAATGTGTAATTCTTTATGTTAGGTATAAGTGTGTGTTCGACGGAGATGAAGTAGTGTGCGTTCAATAAATTCAAATAGATATTGTATTAACTTTATTCGACAGAAAGTCGAATACATCTTGTTGAAGTTTATATTAGTTAATTACTTTGTGTGCAAGTAATATCATCTATAAATTGCAAAGTACCATATTATTGTAAGTAGTTGTTGAATAACAGAAAGTCAGTTAGAATAAACGCAGAGAGAAAACTTTGTTGAGTTTGACCCATCTTCTTCACATTTCTTCTAAAA